ATGCACTGGCTACACCATCGACTAGCAGATTAATACAGGGTAGTACCAGAAATAATTACAGAAACAGAATGCTATAACTTTAGTTTTCATAATTTCAAACGCATTTACGGACAGATCGCTGTTCTAAATGTAAAACCATGTCTAAAATTTTCACTGGGAAAGGCGCGAGCATATTCTTAAACTGATACAGGGATTCGCATGACTCCCAAAAATTAATGTCGGCCAGTGTCCTTATTTCCATTAGTACACTCATTAAAACGCAGTGGGTCATTAACATACATGATAATCTTTTCAACTGCGGGTACCAAGTTCTAGAGAGAGAACTGATGGACAACTTACATCATAAATGATGACTTTCTTAATAGCTCCACACTTTGCTACTTCTTCGCGGAGATCTTCCTTGTATTCGAGAATTAGAGCGGGACTCTCATCAAAAATTTTCGGATCGAATAAATTCTTGATGATCACAATTTGTTCGTGTTTCGCCCTCTGTCCACGCAGCTTGTCTGGTTGCCAGGCAAACAGCCTACCAAAAACAGAAATCGAAATATCGTTGCTGAGAGGATACAATTGGATAGAAAACATGGATTGAAGAGCACATCGACGACGGAAGTAATATGACACAATTCGATTTTTTACGTTGCGAATTTCCTGGCGTGCTTTGCGATACATCGGTAGATCTGTCATTCAAACCTATGGAAAAGGATCGATAAAGACGGTGTTTGCAGCAAACACCTTGCTAATCGATTTTGTACCATAACTTAAAATGGAGTGATGTCGATAATCGATCATTCACGCCACGCCACTGATTGCCTGTCACGTTCAAAACCAGCGAACGTTATTTTTGAGATATCGGCTGATTATTCTTCGGACTAAATGTCGCTACATGGAACCACAATTTCTGACTCGTCCGCGTTAAAATGCTATCTGCACCTACCTGAATAGGGAAACTAAAGTCACCACAGATGCGTTTTTTGAGATGATCGAGACGTAGTGGTTCCAAGTGGTATTGCAAAATCTAGGTCATTTTTCTTGTACAGAATATTCTGTGAAAATTTCAAAAAATACCGTTCATTGGAAGTTCTTCGAATGAATAAAAAAAAAAAAAAAAAAAAAAAAAAAAAAAAAAAAAAAAAAACAGCAAAATTGTTGAAACATTGCATATAAGATATGCGTTTTACAACTGTCACCAACAATATGTAAAACGGCGGGTAAGGCAAGAGGAAATCATTATCAAGAGAAGCTTACGATCATTTTCGGAAAAATTGAGTGACTGAGTCAAAGTTCAGGATAAAGTCAAGTGCTTCGGCGTTCTTCTAAATTTATGCACGAAACAAATATATTGAATAAATGAGTGAATTTACTCAATTATTTGAGGATAAATGAGGAGATTAAAACAAAACAAAACTATATACTTACTTTTCATGCATCTTCTTAAGTTTCTCTTTGTCTTTCTTCCTTTTCTTCTTCGGCTTCAGAGAAGGATCATACGAGTCTCCTTTCATTGTGAACTTGGCTCTCTCTACACTGATTTTCTTCCCTCGGACATCACTACCATCTAAAACTTTTAATGCTAATTCAACGGATTCTTTCTACAACATAAGAAAAGATCATGTCTGTTAGGGCCAACAATACCAATGCTTTCTTTCGAGGAGATTTATCCCACTAGTAATTTAACTAAAACAACTGTAAAACTCATAGGGGGTTTATTATCTTTGTAAAGACAAGACAAGACCAGATTTTAGACAAGACCAGGAAATACACAATAATTCCAAATCTACGATAAAGAGAATTAAAACGGTACCGATCACGTGATGAAATGGATCTGCATGACAGCATATAAAATTTACGCACTAATTTGGATTTGTTCTCTGTTGAACAAATAAAACATGAGAGGAAATTAGGCGATGTCTGACGTTATGAGGCGATTCTGATTCATTCCGGAAAAAATTACGTCCACAATTCTGTCGAGCTAATAAGAAACGCCCTACGTGCATTCGACGTTTAACAAACTACCCCGATTGAGAACTAATCTTTGAGAAAAGTTGGGAATGTTTTTTCTCGAGGATTTTGAGGAAACCAAAACAGGCATCGTGAATAAACTTCTCTGAGAAATTATGAAAGAAAATTCCCAAGTTTTCCAGCAAATTTACAATTTTTCGGAAGAAATTTAACACCGCCCAAAAGTTCACACTACGTTTTGTTTCAGCATGACAAGATTTCCGCAAAATCCAAACTGGCCACGAGCATATTAAAATAAGGAACTTAATTTTCTGGCTCTGAGATAAAAACACCTATTTATACTTTGGGAAACTAGTGGTACATATCTTGTTTCTAAAATGAGCCAGATAATGGAGATGTTGCATGTGTGAGGAATTTGCGACTTGACTGTTGATTCTTATGTAAAATTTTGCGAGAAACACGATGGTGCCACTGGTTTTCTCTGAAATCAACTCCCAAGCTCAAAAAAATCTCTGAAGTTGAGGCCAAAATGGAGGGGATATCCCACGCTATCCTGAAAGTCCGCACCTCTACATGAAGACAAACTCTCCATGCAAAAATAGGGAGCAAATACATGAGCAGGGTTGCCGTGCTTTTAGTTTTGGAGTCCCTAAATAAAGTGGCAGCCTTGTCAATGTATTTGGTCCCTATCTTTGCATGGAGAGTTTGTCTTGATGTAGAGGTGGACTCTCGGGGTAGGGTGGGATATCCCCTCCATTTTGGCCTCAACTAGAGAGCTTTTTTTGCGCTTGGGAGTTGATTTCAGAAAAAACCAGTGGCACCATCGTGTTTTTCGCGAACGTTTACATAAGAATCAACAGTCAAATCGCAAATTCCTCACACATCAACATCTCCATTGTAGTTCCTGATTGCAAGATGTGCTCAAATTAAATTTCTTCGGCCGATTTTTTCGCCCTTATGAGATGGTAAAAGTAACTTCACGACTGCAGCAAGCAGAGAGGCCCCTTCCACTGAAGTCACGTAATCCAGTGATTAGCCTTTGACAGGTGACGGACTATCTCGGAGGCTGACCTTAGGAGCACTGTGGCAATTTATTAAGACCTCAACGAAGCCTGACATTCTTGGACGGCGGGTTGTCAAAGAACTGTAGTGCGGGAATCCTACCGTGAGGTTAGGTTCGGATCAGCCGGAAGAGGATGATGGTAAGCGGAGATAAATCAGTAACATAGAAGCGTGGTTGCGGTACTCCAGTTATTGCAACGATGGCAGTCGAAAACCATCGTTGCCATAGTAACCGTCGCACAGTGGAATGAGCTCGTAGAAGGGGTCGATCATGAATATTAATTTCGTCACAAATTCAATTTCAATGGGTATTTCTGAATGGAAATTTCACGAAAAAAACCAATGAAACCATTTCTGCGAGAAATGAGGGACTCGGCCCCAGGGCTGGATTAAGGGGGTGGCCACATGGGCCGCACCCATGGCGGCAAATCTATAGGGGGCGGCAAATTTTGCGATTTTTTTAAATGTAGGTATTGAAAAAATTCGGATTTAGAAAAAAAAATTACGAACGAGAAAAGGAAACAAAATCTCTAATTTTCTGAGAGTATAGTAATTTTTACTTCTGTCGTCTTTCAGTGATACAAGAGGCAGCACCTTTTATTAGTCGAGTTTAAGGGAGAAACCAAACACGCAATTTGGCCTGGAACGGCGCGATTTACCTAGACAGAAATGATGACGAGGACTTGAGATGAAAAGGAGAAGCCCTCGGCGCGGCGATCGGCATGTAACACACATTAGCGCCTACAAGACTGCACGAATACTTCACGCATTGCATCAAACCTGTGTTTGATGCAATGATGTGTTCGGTCATTGCGGACAGCGTGAGACGCATAGCGCCTACAAGACTGCGTGAATACTTCACGCATTGCGTTAAACATAGTGCGGTCCGCGAGGCGCGGCGCCCAAAGTTAAAATCATTAATCCACATTTATGTTTGTTCTTTCATAATTTTTTCGTTCATTTCTTATGCATGGAAGGCCTTGTCCACACAGAGATAGGTTTACCAAACTTAACTTTCGCGCAAAGTTCCGTGAACTTTTGCTAGTAGTGTTGACAGGGCTTTCCCAAAAAATGTGTTCAACACCAGTAAACGCGTCTTACGCACGCCTCCCCCGCTGGCACGTTCATTTGATGGTTTTCATTGACGTTTCAAAACGAATGAGAAGAGGGCGTCAAAATACTAGTGGCCCATGGGCGGCAAGTAGGTAAATCCGGCCCTGCTCGGCCCTATGACCCTGCCATCATCGGCTTCCTCGTGTAATTTTAGAGCGGCGATGGTTCGGCTCATAATCTCACGTGCAATGTAAGTTCTATTTTAGATCGAGGTGCGTCTGCAATGATTCCGCATTGATGGATGCGGATCATTACGGAATGGGAGGGATGAAGCGTGCGTTGCGGAACCACGCCGGTCTAACTTGATGACACACAATTACGCTCGATCTTCAATCACTCGTCATGATCATTCGGCAGAACAAAGAGCTCATGTGTCTGTGCCCTCCTCCGAGATCCGAAGAAATGATAACATTGGTGGCGCTGCAGTTAGTCGGATATTGTGAAATATCAACGAATAACCCATATTCAACCCACGATTACGCCCAGTTTGATACGTTTTGTGACAATTTATGGACAGTAGTTCGAGAGCCAGACGATGTTTACTGACAAAATCTCGACACAAGTTTTGACCACTTAAATCTGCACCGACACGTAAAAGGTTGTCTGCCATCTGATGACACACGACCATTTTCAGTGTCAAAGCATGTAAAACTATCGATCAAATAATCAAAACTTGTGTCACGAGTTTATTACTAAATATCGTCTGACTCTCGGGCTACAGGGTAATTTTAGCTTCTTAGCAATGTTACGGTGAGCCGTCATCTTGTTTGTTTATTTACGGCCGTAACTAGAGCATCGTGAAGCCAAAAAACTCGTTGACCAATCAAAAAGCGGCACAGTTTTCTTATATGTAGTAAAAAGATACGAATGATCATACTCTGTATAAAGGTACTCTAGTCCGATGAAGAAAAAATGAAGTATGACAGAAAATCTGCAACGTCGCAAACAGAGATACGTGATTTCGCACTTTAGCAATCGATATAAGTTATTTTGAGGCCAAAAAAATAAAAAAATAATAATAATAAAATAGCTGAGAAAAAATGACATGATCGTGTGAATAATATTATCTAATAATGAGATTCACAATATACTTGCTCGAACTGACCCGGCAGTTGGCACTTGCGCTCAGTGGCGTGGCGTGAATTGCGATGTATCGATTGTTATGCCATTTAAACCTATGGAAAAGGATCGATAAAGAGGGTGTTCGCAGCGAACACCTTAATAATCGATTCTTTACCATAGGTTTAAATGGCATAACAATCGATTAATCGCAATTCATGCCACGCTACTGCTTGCGCTGACGGTGAGAAAAAATGAGGAGGGAGCGCGGCAGGTGAAAAATCCTACCACACTGACGAGGAATGTGCAAGATTATGCAGAAACTTGAGAAAGGAATACAGGAGCAGCGAACGAACGTTACATGACGAATAAATACCGAAACAGATGGAATACGCTTAAAACTACGGAACTGACATTCTTCATTCATGAGTTTCTCGAGAACTGAATACTCGCAAAGGCTATCATAATCGAAATTCGGGTGGGGTACTCTGAGAAAAAAATTGTTAGACATATTTTATTAGATTAAAACGAAATTTTAACTAATTGAAAAAAGTCATCGCTAATAATCCATCTTTTCCCAGACGGAGGAACGCAACTCCATTCCAAGGTTGCAAAATTGAATAAAGCGATTAATTTTTTACAAGAACGTACTTGGTGCAATTTTTGTCTAATATTTTCCGGATTTTTGCATGAGGTCAGATGAAAAATCAGTAAAATTTTTCGTTAGAAATGCCAGAGATTCTACTGATGAAAATGCAATTTGCGAGGGGAAATTTGGCAATATTGAAATGTACTTACGTCCTTTCGTGGGGGGACGTCGAATCTTGACAGTCACAGGATCCATACTGCCGTGCTAAGGAAGAACGTCGTATGAACATTCGAGAGTTGCCAAATTTCCCTTGATAAAACATGTGTTTTTGACGCAATGGAGATGTTGCATGTGTGAGGGATTTGCAATTTGACCATTGATTCTTATGTAAAAGTTTGCGAGAAACACGATGGTGCCACTAGTTTTCTCTGAAATCATCTCCCAAGCTCGAAAAAAGCTCTCAAAGTGAGTTCAAAATGGAGGGGATATCCCTCCCTACCCTGAGAGTCCACCTCTACATCAAAACAAACTCTCCGTGGAAAGATAGGGAGCAAATACATTAGCAGCGTTGCTGTGTTTTCAGTTTTGGAGTCCCCAAATAAAGTGGCAGCCCTGTCAGTGTATTTGCTCTCTATCTTTGCATGGAGAGTTTGTACTGATGTAAAGGTAGACTCTCAGAGTAGGGTGGGATATCCCCTCCATTTTAGCCTCACTTTGAGAGCTTTTTTTGAGCTTGGAAGATGATTTCAGAAAAAACCAGTGGCACCAACGTTTCCTCGCGAACTTTTACATAGGAAACAATGGTCA